TGTGTGTGTGTGTGTGTGTGTGTGTGTGTGTGTGTGTGTGTGTGTGTGTGTCTGTGTGTGTCTGTGTGTGTGTGTGTATATATACTATGTTACCAGAGTCGCCCGACCAAACTTCCACAAGCGGTGACCCACCCGGGGTACCCGGGCGACACCAAAAGGGGGATCAATTCTTTTTCTTTTCTTTTTTGGCAGTGGGGCAATTTTGCAACCACTGAGACGTGCCCAGATCCAGCTTTACCTTTGAGTTCGGTGATATCTCACAAAAGTGAAACGGTATTCACCTGTTAGCGGTAGCGAATGCAGGTCCCAGGGTTCGATCCCTAGTTCTTCCCGTACTTGTGTACAGTACCTGTGTCGACCCCGAGAGTTGAACTTGTGACCTGTGTGTTTGCAACAGTTGGTAGGTTGTCGTAGGTCCGTAGGTTGTAGGGGTTCGATCTGTAGACCTGTCAGATAAAAGTCTTAGTGATTTCTAGAAGTCGTAGTTGTAGCCCTCCCGAAAGGTCAAGTTCGTAGCTGCTACAATCCTGAAAGGTCAAGGTCGTAGCTGCTATAGTGTCGAAAGGCCAAGTCCACAGACTTCCGGAAGGTCTGGAAGTGGCCCTTCCAACGTTGCTCACAGCAGACTAGAGGAAACTGGGCAAGTGGTGGAGTCCACCCTTGCTGAGTCAGCGGTACCCAGTCTCAGTCTCACTGAGTCCAGTCAGCAAGTACCATAAGGGACTGTGTGCACTATGGGCCCGGTGGACAGAGGCAGACCAGCGACTCCCAGAAGTATAAATCAAGAGGCAGCGCCCAGCCATTCATTCATTCCTGCGTAAGCCATGCGGAAGCGCTGCTTGAGCGACTTGTGCGAGGTGGTCTGCAGAGTTCCCGAAGACGAAGGGGGTTGAAGGAGACAGTTAGACATAGCTAGGAGAGGGATAGCAGCCATAGCCGCCATAGCTGATAGGCGAGTGTACGAGTACGAGAGTATGTGTATGTGTGTGGGATATCCAGGGTGATCCGGAGTTGAGTGAGGGCGAACAGTGGTGTTGGACTGGGAGACGAGAGTTGGTGTGTACAGGCGCTGATGCGCCATAACTTGTTAAAGCGAGCTTGTATTTGAACTGTGTTCAACTTCCATATCTCTGAGTTTTGAGTGGGTGTTGTGCGCCAGCGTGTCTCACCATCTGTTTGCCTGAGTACAAAGTGGAAAAGAACGCGAGTCTGATTGCATTGGTATCGGAGCTGGTACCCGCTATCTCACACGCCGTTGTTGTCCGCTGTATGCTGAAGTTGGGCGCCATAGCTGAAGTGCACCATAGCTGAAGTTCGCCATCATCGAAGAAGACATCCGCCATAGCTGCGCTGGTGGAGGAAGGTGCTGCATACGTGCAAGGAAGACAACGACGAAGAGAGAGAGAGAGAGAGAGAGAGAGAGAGAGAGAGAGAGAGAGAGAGAGAGAGAGAGAGAGAGAGAGAGAGAGAGAGAGAGAGAGAGAGTAATCGAAAGGGAGTGAAAAAGAGGGAGGAGAGGGAGAGAGAGAGAGAGAGAGAGAGAGAGAGAGAGAGAGAGAGAGAGAGAGAGAGAGAGAGAGAGAGGAGCGATACAAGGTTGGCTGTGCAGTCCAAGAAGGAAGGAAGAGGCGATAGCCGTGGAGCTCGGACACGGAGAAAGGAGGCAAGAAGACGAACGAGAGAGGAGGGAGAGACGAATAAGAAGAGAGAAGCCATAGTTGAGGAAGAGGAAGGAGGGACGAAGAAGAAGAGAGAAGCCACAACTGAGGAAGAGGAAGGAGGGACGAAGAAGAAAAGGGAAGACATAGCCAGGGTGAAGAAAGAAGAACCAGGCGAGGAAGGAGAAAGAAAGGAGGAAGAAGAAGAAGGGGGTGAGGAAGAGGAAGGCGGCAGCCATAGCCGAGTTGGAGGTTGACCAAGGTGTTGACCACGAGGTTGGCCAAAGTTGACTTAAGCGTTGACCCGAGCGTTGACCAAGGCGTTGACCAAGGTTGACCGGAGTGTTAACCGGGGGTTTGACCAGTGTTGACCAAGGTGTTGACAAAGGCTGTTAACCACAATTTTAACCAAGCTGGAGTTGGTATATTCTCCCCAAGCCCTTAGCCTATCCCCTCGCCCTATCCTTAGATTGAGTCTAGGTCCAATTAGTCAGGTGTCGAGGTCTATGTGGTGAGGTTTGAAATTGTTGTCCGGTTGTGCACTTATCACCATGGTTGACACTCGTAGCGGGAAGAGCTCCATGCCGTATAGCAAGGCTCAAGAGGAGCAGGCCGCCACCATCCTCAGAGAGAGAAACGAGAAGAAGGAGCTCCTTAGGCAGGCAAAGATGAAGATGATAGCCGACGAGCAGGCGGCGAAGAAGAAGAAGTTGGAGAAGGAAATGAAAAGATTACAGCAGGAAGTGGAGGAGAAGATGAAGGTTGCAGAAGAGGAAGAGTTTGAAGAGGAGGAAGAGCAGCCAGAAGTAGAGCCCCTCAAAAGGAGAAGACTGGGGAAAGGAGAAGGAAGCAATGACACGAAAGATGACCCGTGGGTGGAAAGGAGGATATCGAAATGGGTGGTTAATTTATCATTGGGAGAGGACGAACAGGCGATGTTGCATATACCTCAGGAGGAGAAGGAAGCAGCAATTAAGGAGATCGAGGCGACGAGTGATCCCCTAGAACGCCAGGCCATAGAGAACGAGTAGAGGTTGGACTGGAAGTTGCGCCTGGCAAGGGAGAAGAAGAGGAGGACGGAGGAAGCCAACAGGATGGCCAGAGAAGTGGAAGGTTTACAGACATGTAGACAAGAGGTAGAGGCCCAGCCTGACATTCAGGCTAAGTTAGACAAGATCCTTGGGAGCATCGAGCTCCTCGGTAGGGCCTGGACCAAACACCATCAGTCTGTTAGGGCCCAAGACATGACCCTCCACTTCATCCAGTCTGGTTTAAGGGACTTCGCGCGGGATGTAATGACCCATGTAGGGACCGAAGTCAGAAAGCTAAAGGACAGCGCAGAGAAATTCTGCGCAGGTGCCATTGAGGGCGCCAAAGTAGTGGCTGCTGCAGAGGTCGAAGCGCGTCCCCGCAAAGAGTCTGTCAAGCTCAAGTTTCCTGACTCATATGGCGGGAAAAAGGACGAGAACTTTGATAATTGGGAGGCCAGTATCAACACGTACGTATACTTGCAGCACATAGCGCCAAAGGAACAAGTCCTCGTAGCCTTCCATGCTTTGAAAGATGAAGCGGACAGTTTTGCTAGGTCTCTCGCGCGAGCAGCCGATTGTGAACACAATATGGTTGCGTACTCCAAACTCACCCCTCTTCCCAAATTTCTCAAACTCCTGAGAGAAAGGTTCGTTGACGTCACGCGAGGCGTCAGGGCCTCCGACAAACTACAAACAATCCACTCACGGCAATGGAAGAGTGCGAGAGCACTCAAGGCAGTTATGGATGATCTGGTGGCCATCCTAGACCACGGGGTCACTGAGACCCAGTTAGTTAACTTATTTTATCGTGCCATGTCAAAGCCCTTACGAGGGCATTTCCTTGAGAAAACCCAATAGGCCACCACCACGTATGACGCGTTGAGTAGAGAGGTGGTCCTGTTCGAGGCCAAATTCATGCCAGTTTCCACTTTCTGGCATAAGGATTTAGATAAGGGAAAGAAGTGGAAGGGTTGTACCATCTCAGAACAGGTCAGGGCCAAGGATCACCCGATTCTTACTTTAGACGAGGGTGGTACTGACGAAGTCCCCTACAGTCAGATAGAGTGAGGGCTAGAAGAGGAAGACAGTAGTATACACAAGGGAGGACCTATGTTGTTGTCGTGGTTACAGGGAGGCCGCAAGCTAGAGGAGGAGGCCAGGGCCAAGGGGGCCGGGCCATAGCTGGTCGAGGTCCGGGCGCACAGGGGGTTGGCGGTCAAAGGAACCGTCAAGACGGAGGTAGGGGTCAAGGTCCCCCGCCGAATCGCTCAGGGCTCAGCTGATCACCGCAGCGTAGAGGTGGAGGATCACCTCAACGAAAAGGAGGTTGGCACCCAGGTTGGCCACAAGGCCGGCCTTGGGAAGATTTGGGCTTGGACCGGAGAGTATGGCAGCAGCGGATGGAGCAGGGGCACTGCATCTAGTGCGGTGACCCTACCCACATCATTAAATACTGTCCAAAATAAAGGGAAGCCCAATTTGCTGCCCAGGGATCAAAAGGCAGCCGTCGGTAGGGGTTGCAACTGCCCTTACCATTAGGCCATGTGGGGAAGTGTGCGCGCACAACCAGGAAACTCCCACACCGCATGAGCCTATGGCAGAGGTTGCAGGCCAGTGCCTAGTTAGTTGTCCAAAGACTGCATGTGTTAGAGTCTCTCTAGACACTTCCCTCACACGTCTGGCAGAAGAGTTGAAAGAGAGAATGTCGGTCTGGGCCAAGATGAAGAAGGAGAGTAAAGGACAACCTGTGTTGGTAGATTTAGAAGTTTTTAGAAGCAGAGTAGGGGCCCTTATAGACACAGGGGCTACCTGTAGTTATATTAGCCATAGAGCGCTGAAGAAGTTGAGGCTAGGTTTGAAAGTCCAGAAGTTGGAAGACCCCATAGTTAGTATCCTCACAGACAACCGCACGATGCGTGTTGAGGATTATCTTCGGCTAGAGAAGGATGGCAAGGTAGAGAAAGTGTTCCATTCTCTGACTCTCCTCGTAGAGGACAACCTCCCTTTCGATATAGTCCTAGGTATGGGCTGGGGAGAGGCAGCAGGGGCCACACTCCATTTGAGAGAGCATGAGTGTAGGCTCCCTAGTCCATCAGGCGAAGTTAAGAATGCCCGCCTGTTTCATGTGTCAGGAGTAGATAACTCCCTGGCACATTGCTGCCTCAGTGCTCTCTCGTTCGCATGATTAGTTAAAAAGGAGCAATTAGAAGAGCAGGTCTTTGTAGCCTACGTGAGGCCTGTCACTGAGCCTATTGAAGAGAAGCCAATAGACCCAGCTATTGCCAAGCTGCTGGAAGAGTTCAACGATTTGGCAGAGCCGCCAACAGGAGTAGTGTCGCGGCCAATCCATCACAGAATTGAGATAGAGCCTGGCAGTAAAACTCCTATGGGTGTGGTTTATAGGATATCTCCAAGGGAGTTCGAGGAGTTGCGTAGGCAGTTAGACTAACTCCTCGAAAAGGGTTGGATTAGGCCCAATTCGTCTCCTTTCGGAGCACCGGTTTTGTTTGTTCCCAAAAAGGAGGGAGAGTTGTGTATGTGTATAGACTATAGGGGTCTGAATGTCATTACAGTGAAGAATGTTGAGCCGCAGCCCAGGATAGACAATCTCTTAGATCGGGTGCAGGGCTGTAGGTATTTCTCAAAGATAGATTTGAAGTCCGGATACCATCAGATAGAAGTTCATCCTGATGACCAGTACAAGACTTCATTCCGAACTAGATACGGGCATTATGAGTTCATCGTGATGGCCTTTGGACTGACCAATGCGCCAGCCACATTCCAGCGCTGCATGAATGATGTATTTAGGTCGTGGTTAGATAGATTTGTCGTAGTTTACCTAAACGATATCTTCGTTTTCAGTAGGACCCTCCAAGAGCATCAGGGTCATTTGAGGCAGGTCTTGGAGAAGCTAAGAGAGGCTAACTTCAAGATCAATGCGAAGAAGTGTGAGTGGGCCAAGACACAAGTCCTGTACTTGGGCCACGTCTTAGACAGAGATGGAATTAAGCCTGAGGATAGCAAGATAGTGGTGACTAGAGATTGGCCGACGCCCCGCACGATGACAGAATTGCGGTCGTTCTTAGGTCTAGCTAACTATTATAGAAAGTTCGTAAGGAACTTCTCCACCATCGCCGCTCCCCTTCGTAGGTTGCTCAAGAAGGATGCCATCTGGATGTGGGACAAAGAGTGCGCATCCGCTCTTAAGAAGTTAAAGCGAGCGTTGATAGAGTACCTGTCCTCAAGGTGGCAGATCCGTCCTTGCCATTTGTCATCCCCACGGACGCGAGTCAGTATGGTATAGGCATCGTGTTACAGCAGGACGACGACAATGGCTATAGACCCGAAGAGTTCGTGTCAGCGAGGATGCCGTCAGAGAAAGTAGCTACCTCGACTTACGAAAGAGAACTCTACGCTCTCGGAAAGGCCTTAGAGCACTGGAAGCATTACCTGCTTGGGAGGCACTTCAAAGTTTATTCAGACCATGAGACTCTTAGGTGGCTGAAAACGCAGGCCAAGAGGACACCTAAGCTAACTAGGTGGGCCGAGATAGACCAATATGACTTTGAGCTCAAACCAGTCAAGGGCAAGTATAATGTAGTTGCGGATGCTCTCAGTCAGAGATCATACTACTTTGGAGTTGTAGTTCACTATTTGGATATAGGGAGAGACCTGCAAGAGAAAGTAAGACAGGCGTATGCGCAGGACCCTATTTATAGTGACCTCAAAAGAATTAAGGAGGCCCCAGAGACTGAGCCACATTACCGCACTACATAGGGATTACTGTTCGACAAGACCAATGTAGTAGACCGTCTGTGTGTTCCTAATAATGAGGAGATCCGTAGTTTGATCCTAGGGGAATGCCACGACACAGAGGGACATTTCAGTTGGCAAAAAACTTTAGTCAATCTGATGCATGTGTATACTTGGCCAGGAATGAAAGTTGACTGCATAGAGTACGTTCGCAGTTGCAAAGTCTGCCAAAGTAATAAGACAACTACGCGCGCCCCTCTAGGTCTTCTTCGACCCTTGCCTATTCCTGACCAGCCTGGGGATTCAGTATCCATTGATTTCATGGATGCTAGCGTCAAACGTAGGCATGGAAGGAGCCAAGTCATAGTAATAGTGGATAGATTTAGCAAATATGTTGTTTTTGTTCCCTTACCCACAGAAGCCCGTACAGAGTTAGTTATTCAGAAGTTTTTTTACTTTTGGGTTAGTGATCACGGGATCCCATTGTCCATAGTTAGCGAAAGGGACACCCGGTTTACAAGTCAGAACTGGTAGGAGTTAATGAAGGTATACGGGTCAAAGTTATTAATGTCGTTTGGCCGTCACCCAGAGACTAGCGGTCAGACCGAGCAGATGAATAAGATCCTGCAGCAATTTTTGCGCATGTACATTAGACCAGATCAAGTCAACTGGGACGAGATGTTGCCCAAGGTAGCCAGTGCATATAATAACAGCGTGCACCTAGCCACTTATCGTACTCCCAATGAGTTGCATAAGTCCTTTAGACCACGCAGGCCGTTTGAGGGACTTAACCGGGACCAGATTCATAGGCTATCGCCCAGTACGATACAGCATGAGAAGGAGTTAGCTACCATTGTTGAGAACCTCAGGAAGGCCCTGCACCGAATGATAGAGCAGGCTAACAAGCACCGTCGCCTGTCGCAGTTTCAAGTAGGTGACCTAGTCTGGATCAAGTCCAAAGAGTTTGCTCCTGAGGAAAACATTTCACAGAAGTTACTGCTAACATACAGGGGACCGCTGCCAGTCCTAGAGGTTAAGGGCGGAGAGGATGGGCCATCCTATACAATAGAGATCCCAACACACCTCCACACCCACTCTGTGTTCCGTGCGTTGAAGTTGTTCCCCTGTGTCACAAGTCAACAATTTCCATCAAGAAGATCCATGATCCCTCCGGATATTGATGGCAGGTACGACATTGAGGGCATTGTAGGTGAAGACGTATTCAGGACAGGAGGTAGAAGTCGTCCACAGAAACAGTATAAGGCTAGATTTGCTTATCAGGAACCCGAGGACGACCGCTGGTTTACTACAATTGAACTTTTAGA